GACTTTCATCAGGATTACCAATATTCTACATAATTAGTCTTATATACAGGATACAAACATTATAAAATTTAGTGACAACTCACCCCAGGTGTCGTTCATGGTGAAACCGGCATTCTAGCCGCGAAAGTGCGCATGCGCGGACAAGCCACGCCCCTCTACGTGACGTCACCACGTGACGCTACCGTCGCTGCCATGGTGACGCTAGATAACAAAGGCGATCTCCATGGCAGCTGGTAGCTGCTATTCTCATAACCTGTGATCAAACAGTGTAAGAGCAGAAGGAATAAAGAACATACATAATAGATATGTGGGAATACTTTCCCAATAGTATATCAAAGTGCTGAGTATATAAATGTATTCATCTTATACCTATTTCGTGTAGTGAAATTCTGTGTAACATTATTTAAAGTGCCTTTTGTAGTATAATGCTTACTATTAAAGTGCCAAGTGCTGTGATTAAAATAAAATTAGATGTATTGACAAACAAGTGAAAAAAATTTGAAATTTCATAAGCATCCTATCAATAAAATTAAAGTACACATATTTACACATATATACACACACATATATATATAGTGATGCTGAAATGACTGGCTATGAGTCTATTATTTATATATCTATGTACTAATTATGTAGAATATTGGTAATCCTGATGAAAGTCCACAAGGTGGACTGAAATGTCGATTTATTTTATGGAAACTGAATAAAAGTAATTTTTTAAATGGAAATCTGTGAGTGCAGCCATCCTACTTGTTTACATATATATATATATGTAGTTGGCTGCACTCACAGATTTCTGTAAAACTTAACTTTTATTCAAGCTTTTAAGGTAGAGCAACGTTTCAGTCCATCAGTTCTGATGAATCCTGATGAAAGTCCACAAGATGGACTGAAACGTTGATCTATCTTAAAAACTTGGTTAAAAGTTAAGTTTTACAGAAATCTGTGAGTGCAGCCAAATCCGTGAGTGCAGCACAAACTTGTATGTCTGAGCTCTGGCAATTGGAAGCTGAGTGCAAGGTACAGTCAATCCTCTATATAAAATACATATATATATATATATATATATATATATATATATATATATATATATATACATACATATATATGTTATGGTGGGGAAAAGTTGTGATTGAAAACCCCTTCCTCCTGAAGTCTGTGGATAATTAATACAATGTTAGACAAAAATCTGCACACCAGTCATGCCATAAGACTTGCTTTTCCCACAGAAATCCCATAACTGCAGCGATGTTACAACCGCAAATGATTCTGGGTGGGCATATGCAGATTAGTTTAACAAAGAATCACATTTTTGCCTCATACCATTTTAAACATGGATTCCTTTTAATCTATGTTTGCTGTGTACAACAGCTTGAAACACTATATAGGAAAAGATGCAAAACCAGTGAACCCCTCATGGACAGCTGTTTCATTGTTAATGCAACTTGTCAGCATGAGGTTGGTTACTGGTTTGCTTATTGAGGCTTGGTAGTGCTTGGGAAGCAAAATCCAAATAGGTTATGGTGGAGAAAAAATGTGATTGAAAACCCCTTCCACCTGAAGTCTTAAGTGTTAAACTAATCTGCATATGCCCACCCAGAATCCTTTGCGGTTGTAACATCGCTGCAGTTATGGGATTTGATTTCTGTGGGGAAAGCAAGTCTTATGGCTTGACTGGTGGGCAGATTTTTGTCTAACAATGTATTAATTATATATATATATATATATATATATATATATATATATATATATATATATATATATATACATACACATATACATAAACACACATATGCACAAGGTTACTCAAATGTTTTTATTGAATAGTTTTGCAATTTTAACAAAGGAAACAATAATGATCATTGACATCTATCAAGATAACATAAACTAATGAACACTCATTAGGAAACAATAAAATAAAAAACCACAAAAAAACCCACAATAAAATAAGAAGAAGAACATGGGAAAAACATATGTCCATTATGGGATTGGCAATAGCATCATTATAATAAGCAGTATACCGGTACAAACAATATGTTTCAAAATATAAAAAAAAAAAAAACTGTCTGCATTGGTTGGTAATTAATATTATATGTTGCAAATGGAAAAAAAAATTATATAGAATATTTGCATACAACAGTTTCCTTCCAAATGTTAGGCTAGACGGTAAATGAAGATTCAACTCATACCATGTATGTTTCAGAACCAAGGATAAAATTTATTTAATAACTGGAATAAAAGTTTAATTTCAATATCTAGGTAAAAGTATTGTAGCCGCAATAAAACATGGCCTACTACTATTCTACTAACTTAATTGGGAATCATTTTAAATAGACACAATTCTGGTGATAAACTCTCAATGGAGGGAACAATATCTTTAACTAAAGTATGTACACTCCACCAAAATATTTGAATATGTGGACATTGCCACCACATATGAAGAATAAAAGAACAGAATAACAAGATATGAATTGTTTTCTACTCTGGGTTATCAAGAAAAAAATTTCCACTGGGATTTTTCTAAGAAAAATTTGAAAAAAATGCAATCTGTGTGAAAATGAGTATAAAAGGTGTATAAACACCACCTCCACACTGATCCCATACACCAGGAGTGTACTCCAACAATGCCCAAGGGCTTAACCCTAGATACTAGCAACAGAAACAAAGAAGCAAAAATTCACAAACTGAATATAATGCTGACTGGAGATAAAGACGTAGGCACCAAAGCATCCTAGTCCTGGATGCTTTGGTGCCTACGTCTTTATCTCCAGTCAGCATTATATTCAGTTTGTGAATTTTTGCTTCTTTGTTTCTGTTGGGATTTTTCTAAGTGCTTATATTTATGATAAACAAGTTTATTAACTATAATATTGTATTTGGGGGCAAACGAATCATCTAGATGATATTTAAGATACATTTTGTTGAATGATCGTAATAAATAAATTAGTTAGAGAGATATATATCCAGGAGTCAGCATCAGCATCAGCATCAGGGGCCTCATATTTCCAAATGGATGTTGGCATGGCCTGAGATCACCATACATTTCTCTTAACCTCCTTAAACATAGCATTCAGGCTTTCAATGTTGTTTGGTGAAGGCAAGCCTTTTCCTGATCCCGGGGCGTAGATCATGCGTCAGCCACAATATTTTGTTGATCGAGTACCATTCATTTTCAAATTTTGTAATACAGACAGTCATATTCTGCCAGGCTTGCCTGACCAGATAAATGCTGACATGGTCAAATTAACTTTCATGAAAAATGACAAGGAAAGGGACAGGAGTATGACCCTTATAAATTATAACATCTTCGGGAGAATATTCATTTTGAATGAATGTAAACTACCTAACCATGGGTCTTCTAAGTCCAAACATCTTTCCATTTCTTTCCGTAAATCTGGCAAAGCTTTTGCCATATTACATGTTTGCATTTTTACCAAAAGTTTGTTTAGACTTATACCCAAATAGAAAAGTTGTGAGCCCCTTCACCTCAAGTTAACCTTCAGACAATCCAGAACAGGCTTTGGATTAAAAAAGGGCTCTGGGGATGTTAAAAGAACATTATAAGGTGAGGAACACAAATATGCATAAAACATGTATAAAATATGTTAAAAACACCATCTAGTCCCCCTGTCCCCACTCCCACCCCTAAATATTGTAAAATCTAACCTTTATTCCAGTCTGCTGCTGCTGGCTCTGCCCTGATCTGTCTGCTTTGCTTACATCATCAGAAGTGTTTGTCAAAGTCAATCACAATGCTTTCCCATAGGAAAGTGCAGTGGCAGAGCCAGCATAAGCCAAACATGGCCCTGGTCAATCAGCATCTTCTCATATAGAAGCATTGAATCAATGCATCTTTCTACAGAAAGCTCAGTGTCTCCAAGCAGAGGGTGGAGAAACTGAATGGTAGTGCTTCATTCTGTGCAGCACTTCCTCAGGAAGCTCTTCTAGTAGCCATCTGAGGAGTGACCAGTGTAGGTATCCCTGGGCTATAATGTAAACACTACCTTTTCTCTGAAAAGATAGGCTTTACTGCAAAAAGCCTGAAGAGAATGATTCTACTCACCAGAACAAATACAATACGCTGTAGTTGTTCTGGTGACTATAGTGTCTCTAAGTTTATAATAGGAAATGTCACCAAATAATTTCTAGATGGGCACCAGATAGTTAAGAGGGGTTGTTGGATTCCTGACAAGATGAGGTCATCTGCAAACAATGCTATTTTATAGTGACATCAGTAATTTTGACACCTGCAATTTTTTTAATCCTTCCTAATCATTTCGGGCAGGGTTCCATCGCTATTATAAACAACAAAGGGGACAAAGGACTAGCCTGTTTCATACTGTTTGTGAAACTTGTGGCTGAAACCCTTGCTGGGGGACAATGATTCAGCATGAGCACTGCATTAACTATAGGCATCTTGAAACAAAATGTAAACAGTACCTCCCTCAAGTATGTCGTCTAGGGTCCCTACTGACTAGTACAGTGAAGTATGTCTGATGTCATTGATAGCCAATAATGAAGGGAATAGGACAAACTTATTTGCTTGGTTCACATTATACATTTTCAGATTTTAAGATTCAATTAGGATGCCCATTGAATAAAGTGTCCACTCATCACTGCTTTATGAACATTCCAGACTGTGTCAGCAGCCAAATCCAGAGCCACATTTTCCCTGAAGTAATTGGCAAGGGTAGATTCTGCTAATAATTTTTTTTCTAAATCTAATATTAGATTTTCACTCAGCTTCCATGACCCACCCATAGTCAGTGATAGGGACTCAGATACTTGTAGTACTCTCGGGGCATGATATGACAATTGAATATTTAAAATGTCAGAACTCAAAACGGATGACAGAGTTGCCTTCTCCACCAAAAATCTCTCAATTAGTGATGTCCCGAACGGTTCGCCGAACGGTTCGCCACGGATGGCGAACATATGCGCTGTTCGGTCAGTCCCCAACGTCATTATTGAGTAAACTTTGACCCTGTACCTCACAGTCAGCAGACACATTCCAGTCAATCAGCAGCAGACCCTCCCTCCCAGACCCTCCCACCTCCTGGACAGCATCCATTTTACATTCATTGTGAAGCTCCATTCTTAGTGAGCTGTCCAGGAGGTGGGAGGGTCTGGGAGGGAGGGTGTGCTGCTGATTGGTTGGAATGTGTCTGCTGACTGTGAGGCACAGGGTCAAAGTTTACTCAATGATGATGAATAGGGGGCGAACCGAACAGCGCATATGTTCGCCGTCCGTGGCAAACCGTTCGGCGAACCGTTCGGGACATCACTACTCTCAATACGTTAGTACATATTTTATTGAAATAAATTATGTCTGGTAACCTTCTCACTCTCATGACTCACTCTCCATGTGTCATATAAACCTAATATAAAACCATATTGAAAATATCTATCCCAGTGGTTCCCAAACTTTTTAGATTCCAGGTGCCCTTAATAGTTCAATATTTTTCCAAGGCACCCCAAGTCAAAAAAATTTCTAGGTTGTATATATGTACAGCACTGCAGCATATACTGGGCCCCTAATCTTGGGAGTGGCACTAGTAGATTATTTAAAGAAACAATCCAGGCACAATAACCACTACATTACATTGTAGTGGTTATGGTGCTATTAGTGCCGTAGTGCCCTCCCAGGGTAAGTAGTCAATTTGTTTAAGAACAGTTTGACAACTTACCTGCCAGGATAGGGGATGCAGTGTGTGTGTGTGTGTGTGTGTGTGTGAGGAATGCAGTGTGTGTACAGGGGTGCATGGTGTTTGTGAATGATGTAGTTTGTGTGTGAGGGGTACACTGTGTGTGCGCTTGTGTGAGTCAGTTTGTGAATTAGGGGTACAGTGTGTGTGGGGGCAGGTTGTTTGAGGGGTACAATGTGTGTGTGAGTGGTACTGTGTGTGTGAGGGGGTGCAGTGTGTGTGGGGGGTGCAGTGTGTGTGGGAAATCAGAGTGTGTGTATGGGGGCAGGTTGTGTGAGGGATACAGTGTGTGTGGGGGGGTACAGTGTATGTATGGGGACAGTGTGTATTGGAGTAATGTGTGTGTATGTGGGGTAGTGTTTGTATAGGGGCAGTGTGTGTGTGGGGGCAGTATGTGTTTATGTGGGGTAGTGTGTGTGTGTGTATGGGGGCAACTGTGTGTATTAGGGGCAGTGTGTATGTATGGGGGTAGGGTTTTTATAGGGGCAGTGCGTGTATGTATGGGGGCAGTGTGTGTAGGGGTAGTGTTTGTGTATGGGGTAATTGTGTTTGTGGGTGGGGGGATAATGTGTGTGTATTGGGGATAATGTGTGTGTGTGTATTGGGGAGCAGTTGTGTGTTGTGGCTTCTGTGGGGGTAGGAGAACAAATTAATATATATATTTAATTTTTTTTATTTAAAATAAAAAATTATGTCCTCCCTCCCTGCTTAATTTTGCCTGGGATGGGGGGACATTTCCTGCAACCCCTGGTGGCCCTGGTGGTGACATTGAACTCTAGCAGCCTTAGGAGCTGCTAGAGTTCACTTTCGTGAGATTCAGCGCATTGCCGTGGTAACCGCAGCCACGCTCTGAGCTCGCGAGAGGAGAAACCATTGTAGATGCATGTTAGAGCTCCCCCGGGTTCTCTTTCTCTCCTTCCCTCCCTGCTGGCTGTCAGCAAAGTACTTGCGGGCTGGAGAGGGAGATCTCAGATCTCCCCTCTGTAACTGCAGAGCCGGCAGGGGAAAGCACAAAACATATTACATTTTGGATCCTGAATTAGATATAGTAAGAAAGAATGCAATTTTAATGGATAGATCAGCGGTTCCCAAACTGTGTGGCCGCGAGTTATTTTCCCGGTGCTATGATGATATATCTAATTCAGGATCCAAAACGTAATTAGTATGTCCACACACAATTACTCTCCCTTTACATTCATCCAAAATTATTTTTAAAATATTTTTCAGAAATTTCAGTTGTCCTGTATTTAAAAATAAACATTGGCGACTGTATATTCCACACTGTTTATTTTTCCAGTCCAAATTTAACCCCTTAAGGACCGAGGACGGTTCAGGACCATCATCGGCATTTTCCCATTGCCGACCGATGACGGTCCTGAACCGTCCTAACGGTCCTAGTTACTTACCTGATCGCCGTCGTTCCCCCAGCGGCTATCAGCGTTGCTCCCCAGACAGTCTCCCCACACAGCGATCACATGGTCACAATAGGTGTCCAAGTGTCTCCCTGCAGGGGGACTGTCTGTGCTGACAGGCAGTCTCCCTGCTAGTGTAAACAAAAAAAACAAAAAAATTAATGTTAATTAAAAATAAAAAAAATTATATATGTGTATATATATATATATCTGATATATAGACATATATTATATATTTATAATATATGTCTATGTATCATATATATAATGTCATACTAAGTGTATTTTTATATTAATATGTACTTATATTAATATAAAAATACACTTATAATTAAATTACACACGTGTATATATATATAATATATAATAACTATATATATTGTATATATATATTATTATAAAATATAAATAATAAGTAATTTAAATTAAATAAAACATTTTTTAAATAATAACACAAATTTTAAAAAAAATTATATATCTATATGAAATTTTATTCTAACTGTATTTTAAAATTTATATATATATATATATATATATATATATATATATATATATATATCTATCAGAATACACTTAGAATGAATTTGTATATATATCTATGTATATATAAATAAATAAAATAATAGAAATATATACATATGTCCATATACAAAATTACATAAATAATTATATAAATATACACGTAGACTTCAAATATATAAATATGCATATATATTTAAATTCTACATGCGTATTTATGTAATATTTTTACATAATTCAGTAATTTTATTTATTGCAATTTGAGGGACCTGCCTGCCATCCCAGGCTGAAAGTCCAGAGAATTTAATTTGCTAGCACTGTATTTTACCCTGTAATGTTCTACGACACCCTAAAACCTGTACATGGGGGGTACTGTTTTACTCGGGAGACTTCGCTGAACACAAATATTAGTGATTCAAAACAGTAAAACATATCACAGCGATGATATTGTCAGTGAAAGTGACTTTTTTGCATTTTTCACACACAAACAGCACTTTTACTGATGATATAATTGTTGTGATACGTTTTCCAGTTTTTAAACACTAATATTTGTGTTCAGCGATGTCTCCCGAGTAAAACAGTACCCCCCATGTACAGGTTTTATAGCATTTTTGAAAGTTACAAGGTCAAATATATGGGTCAAATATTTTACATTGAAAATGGCCAGGTTGGTTACGTTGCCTTTGAGAGCGTATGGTAGCCCAGGAATGAGAATTACCCCCATGATGGCATACCATTTGCAAAAGAAGACAACCCAAGGTATTGCAAATGGGGTATGTCCAGTCTTTTTTAGTAACCACTTGGTCACAAACACTGGCCAAAATTAGCGTTCAATTTAGTTTTTTTACTTTTTCACACACAAACAAATATGAATGCTTACTTTGGCCAGTGTTTTCGACTAAGTGGCTACTAAAAAAGACTGGACATACCCCATATTGAATACCCTGGGTTGTCTACTTTAAAAAAAATATGTACATGTGGGGTGTTATTCAGAGATTTATGACAGATAATAGTGTTACAATGTCACTATTGATAAATTTTAAAAATGTATGTTTTGAAACCGCAATATCCTACTTGTACCTATAGCCCAATAACATGCAAAAAAAAAGCAAAAAAGCACGTAAACACTAGGTATTTTTAAACTCAGGACAAAATTTGGAATCTATTTAGCAGTTTTTTTCATTCGCTTTTGTAGATGAGTAAAAGATTTTTCAAGTAAAAGTCAAAAAACATGTATTTTTTTCAATTTTTCATCATATTTTTTATTTTTTTTAAATTAAAATACATGAGATTATATAAATAATGGTATGTAAAGAAAGCCCCTTTTGTCCTGAAAAAAACAATATATAATTTGTATGGGAACAGTAAATGAGAAAGCGGAAAATTACAGCCAAACACAAACACCACAAAAGTGTAAAAATATGCCTGGTCGCAAATGTACAACATCGCAAAAACAGTCCAGTCCTTAAGGGGTTAAAACCTACCCTCTGGATCAACAACAACTTTAATAGTATGGCATGCCACATTTTTACTGAATAAGATAGAGACACCCCTCGATTTAAACCTAAAAGCTGAGGAAAACTGCACAGTATGTGCCATTGGGTAATGAATATAAAAGAAACAAATTAGCTTAGTGGGAAAGTAAACCAAGAGATTACACATTTAAATTAGATAAATTAGAGTCATCCTATAGAAGTTATGAAAAGCAAAGATTGCATGCAAAAAGGCAATTAGAGTGGCTAACCTAGAAAATGAGAAATTGATAGCCTAAGAGAGCAAAACTAGAGTTGAGCGAACCCGAACTGTAAAGTTTGGGTTCGTACTGAACATTAAGTTTTTTGGACCCCGGACCCCAACACGGACATGTCACTGTATGTTCGGGTTGGAGTTCGGTGTTTGGCGATTTAATGGCGTGTTTTCAAAGGCTGCAGGGCAGCCAATCAACAAGCATTTGACTTGTGTGTCCTTAGAAGCCATCACAGCCATGCCTACTAATGGCATGGCTGTAATTGGCCTGTGCAGCATGTGACCCAGCCTCCATATATAAGCTGGAGTCGCATAGCGCCGCACGCACATGAGGTCTTATTAGTGTAGGAAGAGGATGCTGCCGCTGTGAGGGACAGCTTAGGAAAGAATTCTGCAAACTAGTACATTAGTGGGGTGCACTTCATATCTGAGAGTCAAATCGAAGCGTCTAATAGTGTGTTTACAGCGCAGTTATAAAAATTCTAATTTTCTGGGTGCTTATCTGCTAAATAGTACATTTTGTGGCCTGCTCTTCAAATCTGAGAGTCAAATAGAAGCGTCTGTAGGCATAAAAGGGTTCAACCGCCGTTTAACAGATCTTCCCTTCCAGAGACACAGGCACAGATACTGTAGACACCAATCCACTGAACCGGAGAAGCATGTGAATACCATAAACAGCCGAATAGGAAAAAAACATACGAATAGGTTTACACTCCTAGCAGTCAAACTGGAACAGCATACAATAAATCCCACCAAGAACGAGACAAGGCTCCGTTTTCAGGGTCAAGCAGGAACAGACAGAGCTGTAGGTTTATTGTTCTTATGTACACATTCTTACACATTAGTACCACCCACAGGGTTTTGGAAAACAACTAATAAACACATACAATACACTCAGACACTCCCACACAAAATCCTCCCCTCTGTCTGTGATACAATTACCTTACACAATGGGTAATGTAATTATCACCAGCAGAGAAATACAGTTTTTCCACATTATTCATAACTTGAAAAGTCTGCATCACATTCACATAAACTTACTTATTAGAAGCATCTAATAGTGTGCTCACAGCGCAGTTGTAAAAATTCAATTTTTTTTGCTGCTAATCTGCTAAATAGTATATTTTGTGGCCTGCTCTTCATATCTGAGAGTCAAATAAAAGCTTCTGATAGTGTGCTTACAGCGCAGTTGTAAAAATTCTAATTGTTTTGCTGCTAATCTGCTAAATAGTACATTTTGTGGCCTGCTCTTCCTATCTGAGAGTCAAATGGAAGTGTCTAATAGTGTGCTTACAGCACAGTTGTAAAAAATTCTAATTTTCTGGGTGCTAATCTGCTAAATAGTACATTTTGGGGCCTGCTCTTCATATCTGAGAGTCAAATCGAAGCGTCAAATACTGCGTTTACAGCGCAATTGTAAACATTCTAATTGTTTTGCTGCTAAACTGCTAAATAGTACATTTTGAGCGTGCTCTTCCTATCTGAGAGTCAAATAGAAGCGTCTAATAGTGTGCTTACAGCGCAGTTGTAAAAATTCTAATTTTCTGGTTGCTAATCTGCTAAATAGTACATTTGGGGCGTGCACTTCATATCTGAGAGTCAAATCGAAGCGTCTAATAGTGTGCTTACAGCGTAGTGGTAAACATTCTTAGTTTCTGGGTGCTAATCTGCTAAATAGTACCTTTTGTGGCCTGCTCTTCATATCTGAGAGTCAAATAGAAGCGTCTAATAGTGTGCTTACAGCGCAGTTATAAAAATTCTAATTATTTTGCTGCTAATCTGCTAAATAGTACATTTTGTGGCCTGCTCTTCCTATCTGAGAGTCAAATAGAAGTGTCAAATAGTGTGCTTACTGCGCAGTTGTAAACATTCTAATTGTTTTGCTGCTAATCTGCTAAATAGTACATTTTGTGGCCTGCTCTTCATATCTGAGAGTCATTTGCCCGCCTGCTGCCTTCCTTGCATGTAGTAGCCGTTTCTCAGGGTCCCTGTACGGAATGGAACCCTGATTCCCCGTTACCCATGGTCACTATGGAAGGCGCAGAAACTGGCATCAAAAGTTGATGTGGATGACATCCGAATGCAGAGTCGCCGTCACGGGGATGTGCGATTGGCCCGAGGTTCTCTAGAGTCAACAAAGTGCCTGCGCAACTATAATGTCAACAGCTACTCTGCGGAACATAGTTGTCTTTTTCTATATATGTCCCAATATTTTGTGGGCTACCACAATTAAAAAACAGTGTTGGCTACCTCATCCTCCTCCTCCACCGCTGCTTCCACCTACACCGCCACGGTCACCGCCTTCTAAACCTTTGGGTCACTTAGTATAAACTATGTACACATTAGCAGAGGCTTGTGAAGGCCTTTTCTCCATGCATCAGTAGTTGAGCATTTCTCCATGCATCAGGACTGCAAGAAATGCACTGTAGGCCGCAAATGTATCTTTTTTTGTATGTCCCAATATTTTGGGGGCTACCCCAATTCAAAAAAAAAAAATATATATATACATATATATATATATATATATACATATATGTATATGTATATATATATATATATATATATATATATATATATATATATATATATCATACAGGGTTTCCTTGCACTCACGCTTGTAAATAGTTGTAAGCCGGGTGCTTGTAATCCAGGGAAAAATTGCATATGGTGAAATAGTGATCAGCACTCTCGGTCTTTTGTTGAGTTTAAAACTTACAGTTTATTGAAATTCCATTTAAAAGATCAACGTTTCAGTTCCTATCTGGAACTTTCATCAGGATCAAACATATAAAACAATGCAAAACATTACATTTATATACCTCAAGTATTAGTGAAATTAAATCAATAATGACTTACCCCTGTGCTCAGAGTGATGGGTGTGTTCCCCTGGCGTCCACCATACCTCCGTGCGCATGCGCGGACGTGGCCCCGCCCCTACGTGTGCGTGATGACATCACGCGTTGCCGCGGCAACGCTAGAGTCACATGGGAAGAAACAGGAAGTGACTGATAGTGAATAGCATGTGTCTCCGGTTGCTGTGGCAACCCGGCAATGTAACTACAAAGTTATACATTCAATTAGTATTCACAAGTGCTAGTCCAATCTTCCTGGTACTAGAAAATAATGAAAATGAAAATGAAAGGTTTATGAAAATACACAGTGATACTAATGTGTATAAAAAGTGTAAAGAAAGTTATATATATTCATAACTATAGATATTGGTTAAAACCCTAATTCTGGCAAGTAAATACTAGCCTTAAAGTGCCAATATGTGATAAAGTACTGAAGACCAGTACAATTATACTGGAAATAAAGTGTATATAAAAAAAGTGCATATGGAAAAGTGCTAAAGTGATAATAAAGTGCTAACAGTGATGTGCTATTACTTATAATAAGAAAGTGCTTTCCAGTGCAAATATAATAAATAGCAATTCTATATCAATAGATAGTTCTTTGGTATAAAAATATATCAAAATATTAAGGGCTTAGAGGTATTAATTTACACATAAAAAACATCTTAAAAAGTATCATAAAAATTATCATAAAAACAAAATTCCTATTGCTTTTGGGGTCATAACTAAAGAAATGAATGATAAGAAAGCATCTCATTGAGTCCTCTAGGTGCAATCGTGTTCAATTGGAAAATCCATTCTGTCTCTCTATTAAGGAGCATTTTGCCGCGGTCCCCTCCTCGCCTGGGTATTGGGATATGATCTATTGCGATAAACTTCAAAGAGGAAAGTGGATGTTTCATTTCAAGAAAATGTTGTGCCACAGGTTGTTCTGAATGTCCATCCCTGAAAGCCACCCGTATTGCTGATCTGTGTCCCCGTATTCTTTCACATAGTGGGGTTTCAGTTTTGCCAATGTAGGCTAACCCGCATGGACACATTAACTTGTAGATCACAAAAGGTGTTTTACATGTAATTGTGTGTTTTATCTTAAACACCTTATTATTATGTGGATGTTGAAAGGATTTAGCCGGGGTCATATGGCTACACGTGACGCATCCTAAGCATCGGACACTGCCTCGGTATTGAATATCAGTTCCCTGATTATAACTGTTGATAGGATCTGTATGTACCAACATATCCTTTAGTGTTTTGTTTCTCTTGAAACTGATCAATGGATGTTCTTTAAAAACTTTAGGCAAAGTGTCGTCCGTTGCAAGCATCTTCCAATTTTGTTTGATAATTTTGACTATTTTGGGTGAAGCGTCATTGTACGCCATTGGAAATACCAAGGACGGTGGTTTTTTAGTACGTATGGCGGTATTGGCCATTTGCGCATCTTGTTGTGCTTTTAACAGTTCCTGTCTATAATAACCTCTTTCAAGGAATTTTTTATTCATCTCTTCCAACTGTTGTTGCATCTTGAGTTGATCTGAATTATTACGTATAACTCTTAAGAATTGTGCCTTAGGAAGCGATTTTTTTCAACATTTTTGGATGTGCACTTTTATTGTGCAACAATGTGTTCCGATCGGTATCTTTTCTATATAGACAGTAAGATACTCCATGTTCTTTAACAGATATCTCTAAATCCAGAAATTGAATCATATTTGTACTAATATTGGACGTAAACCTGACTGGAGTATTAAGTTCATTCAGATAGTGAACCATTTGCTGAGCTTCCAATTCAGTGCCCTTCCAAAGGATCAACAAATCGTCAATGTAACGAAAATACGCAGTGATAAGATGATTAAATTTGGAAAAGATGTGTTCTTTCTCATAAATATGCATATAGGAATTGGCATACATTGGGGCCATCGCTGCCCCCATAGAGGTGCCCGCTACTTGTAGGAACCAGTCATCTTCAAATCTGAAATAATTTTGTTGGAGAGTTAAGGACAATAATTCCAAGACAAATTCGATTGGAGGTCCCACATATGAAGTAGCCATGCATAAAATTTGTCTCATGGCTTCTATCCCCTCCTGGTGTGGAATAATTGTATATAAATTACTCACGTCCATGGTGATTAGAATAATGGGTTCCTCGCCAAAGTCTAATGTATCCAATTTCCTTATCAAGGTCGGTGTATCCTTGATACAAGTCTGTATCTCTGCTATGGGTGCTTGGAATAGAGAATCCAGCCATTTCGCAATCGGTTCTAAGATCCCTCCTATTGCTGATACTATCGGTCTCCCTGGAGGCTTAATGGGATTCTTGTGTATCTTTGGTATAGTGTAAAGAATTGGAGTCTTTGGATTCTTTTTCAATAGGTAGTTATAGAGTTGAAGATCTATGTGTCCTGCTTCCAGTCCCAAAAACAGAGTATTCTCTATAGTTGTTGCTATTTTCTTAGTCGGATCACCTTGTAAATGTAAGTATACTGTAGCATCTTGTAATTGCCGTCTGATTTCCCCAGCATAATCCTTGTAATCCATGATTACAATGCCTCCCCCTTTATCAGCAGATCTAATGGCAATCGTGGGGTCCTCTGACAAGTTTTTGATGATTTTCATCTGTGAAATAGAAACATTTCTCCTGAGTACTTTATGATTGCGAATAACCTCCTGTGAAAGTCGTTCCACTGTGGAGAGATAGGTCTTAATTGAAGCTTTATAATTCTGTGGGTCAAAATTCGATTTTGGTTTAAATTTTCTCATTTGTTGATTTGATGTATCAATATTCATTGCGGTCTGAGTTGGTCCTTGTTCACCTGGTTTATGGTAATATTCCTTAAGCCGCATGTTTCTCCCAAACTTAAATAGCTCCACATTCCATTTAAACATATTAGGGGCAGCCGTGGGTACAAAAGAAAGGCCATGTTCCAAAATAGATAATTCTTGTGTATCTAGCACCCTATGTGACAAGTTGAAAATGGGTGTTACTTTCTCATTGGAGGTTTGCCGCGTGGAATTGGTTTTACCCTTCTGTCCACGTCTTGTTCTCCTCCTTCTGCGCCTCTCCCTTGGCTCCTCGTGGTAATACCCACTTCTGCGTTCCCTAAAAAAATTGCCTGTTCCCTTAGTACTTCACTATCTGAAGCTGATTCTCCCGAAGTCACATCTACTGTTGGGACTCTAGGACGAGTTATACGTTTACGTATTCTAGGTGGTCTCCTCGTTTTATCACCCGAAAGCCATTTATATACCCGGTGATCCTGGTAGTCCTGACGTACACGCTCAAACTTGAGCTTCTTAAACTTAATTAATTCATTCCGATAGCTGTTAAGTTCTTGTTTTAATTTCAAGTGTAACTTGGCCCCCTCCTGGGAATCCAAGAGTACTGCATGTTGAGTTTCTAAAGCTTCAATTTTTTGTGTAGTATCAGATAAATCACTCCTGACGTCTTGGATAATGATCAAAATTAAATCCAAAGACGCCTTGTTGAGGACACATGTCCAGTCCTTGCAGACTTTGGGCTTACCTCTACCTATAGTGGGTACGTTCATAATCCTGAACCCCCCAGGAATCCTCTTAGCCTTGTAATAGTCTGATAAAAACATTCCATGCAGTTCCAGGTCTATCTGTTTCTGATGCAACCGCAATAATTGAAAATAAATGTCTTTGGTAGATAAATTGTGAGGTAGATCTAAACCAGTCTGCTCCCATAGAATAGCTTTAGCTTCATCTGTTGTAAAGTGCAGTGTGTCAGCCTGTTCAGCATATGCCCCTGCTTGCAATAGGAAATCTTCCATAATCTCTTCAAATAATTCAATTAAGTCACTAGAGACTAAAATCACAATTGTGAATTAGTTGTACTAAAAAAGTACTATAGCTGGTGCATAGGTAGGAGACGTTTCCCCAACTCCCCAAAATGTACAACATACAGGGTTTCCTTGCACTCACGCTTGTAAATAGTTGTAAGCCGGGTGCTTGTAATCCAGGGAAAAATTGCATATGGTGAAATAGTGATCAGCACTCTCGGTCTTTTGTTGAGTTTAAAACTTACAGTTTATTGAAATTCCATTTAAAAGATCAACGTTTCAGTTCCTATCTGGAACTTTCATCAGGATCAAACATATAAAACAATGCAAAACATTACATTTATATACCTCAAGTATTAGTGAAATTATTGGACTAGCACTTGTGAATACTAATTGAATGTATAACTTTGTAGTTACATTGCCGGGTTGCCACAGCAACCGGAGACACATGCTATTCACTATCAGTCACTTCCTGTTTCTTCCCATGTGACTCTAGCGTTGCCGCGGCAACGCATGACGTCATCACGCACACGTAGGGGCGGGGCCACGTCCGCGCATGCGCACGGAGGTATGGTGGACGCCAGGGGAACACACCCATCACTCTGAGCACAGGGGTAAGTCATTATTGATTTACATGAGGTATATA